TCAAAAGACATTCTTTAGGGAATGAACGGACAAAGTCACAGACTTAGAAAATATCTGCAAAGCACATATCTAATACAGGATTTGCACCTAAAATATAGAAATAATATATGAAAATTCTCAAAAACTGTAGGCAAAATTCTGAACATACACTTCAGAGAAGAAAACATACAAATGACTAATACGCACATTAAATTATTACAAATAAGTACATCATTATTCATTAGTGAAAGGCAAGTTAAAGCCATGATGATATATATACATTTAGGAATGACTTAAGAGATCTTACCAATGTGAGTGGTTGTAAGACAATTGGAATTCTCATGCATTACTGGTGAGAATGTAAAATTAAGCAATCTTGGAAAATGGTTTGGCAGTATCTTGAAAAGTTAAACATACACCAACTAGATGATCCAGCCATTCTACTCCTAAGTATTTACCCAGCATATATTAAAGTATATATTCACACATCTATGTTCACAGCAGCTTTTTCTGTAATAGTCCCAAACTGGAAACATTCCAAGGCCTATCAATAGATGAATGAATAAGCAAATTGTTACATATCCATGCAATGGAATATAACTTAGCAGTAATAAGAAGTGAACTATTGATAAATGCAATACATTTCCCATGGACAAATACCAAAGAGTTATGCTGAGTGAAAGAAAGTACATAATCTTTTCAATGAATGATGTGTGAAAAATACTCACACATGAAAAAGTAAAGCTGTTACCTTACATCACACACAAAGATTAAGTAAATATGCATCAAAGATTTAAATTTAAGAATGAAAACTATAAAGTCAAGAAAATGTGAGGGAACTTTTCACAACTCAGTTACTTTCTTGGATATAACACCAAAGCACAGCCAACAAAGAAAAGAAAACTAAACAGGACTTCATCAAAAAATAGAAACTTTTGTGCATTGAAAGACTATCAATAGAATAAAAAACAACCCATAAACGGGAGAAAACTATTGGTAAATCGTATTTCTGACAAAGGATTAATAGCCCAAATACATATAAACTTCTACAACAAAAAACAAACCTGATTTAAAAATAAGAAAGGACTTGAATTTATCTAAAGAAAATATACAAATGGACAATGAGCACATGAAAAGACGCTTAACTTCTCTAATCATTAAGAAAATGCAAATCAATGAGATACTACTTCACACCCATTAGGATGACTGCTATAAAAACAACAGAAATAGAAAATAACACTTCTTGGTGAGGATGTGAACAAATTGGAACACTTGTGCATTATTGATAGTAAAGCAAAATGATGCAGCAACCTTGGAAAACTGTATAAAGGTTCTTCAAAAAATTCAAATATTAATAGAATTATTATATGATCCAGCAATTCCACTTCCAGGTATATAACCAAAAGAACTGAAAACAGAGATATGAACAGTTACTGATATACACTTACAGTCCATAGTAATATTATTCACAAAGCCAAAAGTTGGAATCAACCCAAGTGTCCATCAATAGATGAACAAATAACCAGAATATGATATATCCATGCAGTGGAATATTAGTCTCAAAAAGGAAGGAAACTGGAAATGTGCTACAACACGGATGAACCTAGAAGACATTATAATATATGAAATAAGCCAGTCACAAAAGGACACATACTGTATGATTCCACAACTGGAAAATGGTACAAACACTTTGGTGTGACTGTGGTGGTGATTACATACAACTGTGAATATCCTAAAAACCACTGAAGCATACACTTTAAACGGGTGGATAATATGGTATGTGAGTTACATCTCAATAAAGCCATTTTTCAAAAACTGATTAAGTAGACTTGTATGCTAACACATTTATGATAAAATTTGGTTCTGTCCCTATATTTTAAATACAAGGATGATCAGAGTTATAGTTTCATCAGTCAGGAAGTACTCATCTATGCTGCGGTAACAAACAAACCTCAAATCTCAGCAACTTAAGATAATAAAGATCAGTTTTTCACTTACATGTCCACTGCCAGTTGATGGGGAGCTCAGCTCTTGCATCTTCATTCCAGGATTCAGACTGCTGAAGCTGCCACAAAATGGAACGTTTCCTGGAAGAAGGAAAAAGAAATTCTACAGGGTCTCACTCTGGTAACCAAATGCTTTTCCTGAATTCTTTCACTCCCAACTCATTGGGCTTCCCTGGTAGCTCAGACAGTAAAGAATCTGCCTGTAATGCAGAAGACCTGGGTTCCATCCCTGGGTTGGGAAGATGCCCTGGAGAAGGAAATGGCAATCCATTCCAATATTCTTGCTTGGAGAATCCCCATGGATAGAGGAGCCTGGTGGGCTACAGTCCATGGGGTCGCAATGAGATGGACATGACAGCAACCAACACTTTCTCCCAACACATTGGCTGAAAATTTTCCAATCACAGAGATCCATGATATTCAACTGGACTTTTATCCCAAGACAGGGAGTGGAGACTATATGACAAACAGCCCAAATAGCGACCACGTAGCTAATAGTCATTCGGGGTTTACTGTGTATCATGAGCTGTTCTAAACCCTTGCATGTATGATCTCACTTAATAATACTCACACACACACACAAAAAAAAAAATCCAACAAAACATAAAATCTTCTGAGGCTGGTGCTAGTATTGTCATCAACAGCAATATTTTATACAGGAGAGAATGGGGGCACAGGGGACTTTCCTAAGCTTAGTAAAGTTAACTAGTGATTGGGATCTTAATCCAGACAAGGTGCCAGAGTCAATGTTCTCAATTGCTTCACACTACTGACGCCTGGCATTTACATATTCCCCTACCTCTTAATCAGACAGAAATCTATCACGTAATCCAAAAGAATGTAAGAAGGCTCACTCACACACATTATTAAATAATGACAGGTTAGTGTTCAGGTCTCCTAGCTTCCATCTGGTGTCTTTCTGGCATCAATGCTTTCCCCACTGTCCTTGGCAGAGCCCTGATTCTCACGCTCATCTCAAGCCTGCTGAGGCAGCTGGAAGCTTCAGACAGAGCACCTTCACCGCATCCTCTGTGCTCTCACTTATTCCACTTACTTCTTGGCTGATATCTCCATCCCCATCAAGAGACAAACTCTAAGCAGGAACAAATTTAAGCCATTGAAAAAACCAGGCTAATTTTCTATTTCTGTGGTCCAAAATTCTTACTTTTATGTCAGAATAAGGGCACGTGTTTTGATAAACACAGCCATGTGTGTGAGGTATTGACTAAAGCAGATTCTAGCTTAGGTGAAATAAAAATACATAATTCATAGAAAGGCATCATTAAGCTGAGGAGTTAGTAAGGAATGATACTAACAAGAATCTAGTTTAAGAACACCAGGGCTTACAGGTTAAGAAATAGTGGCTTCGATCTTTCAACACAGCCTATTATTCAGACTCAGGATTCATAGCACTAATACTCACTGACCACTAGCTGGGCCTAGCACTTGCCAACCTCATGGAAGATGTTTAGTGATACCTGTTGAATTACTTGAGGGAATGAGTAAAAACTGGGTAAAACTGAAACATTCCAGGGCCACCAGGAATAGGAATACACTGGGTGGAGAGGACACCAGTAAAACCTATTACTAGAGGTAATAGGTCCTGTTCCTTTGTTGTTTCTGGCAATATAGATGCTGTTAACTTTTGCAAATAGAGCAGACATTTGAACAGGATAAGATCAAACAAAAATCTAGACTGCATCACTGGCATCAATTGATACAGTGAGGGACCAGTGGGAGAAAAAATGGGGAGTCTTCCCCAAATGACAGGCAAGAAAAAAGAATCTTGTTCAAGTTGGTGTTCTCAGCCTTCCATTAGCAATAGGAACCACCCTAATGTGATAATAACCTCTATCTGGGGTGGCTTCTTAAAAGGAAACAAGCTACCCGCTTCTGTGACCATTTGGAAGAGGAATCCTGGCAGGTATCAGGAGTCTTGGCAAACACCCCCCAGCACTAGGACATCTTTGAAGAGACCAGCATTGAAGAATGCCTACCGTTATTGTGAGCATGCATACACAATTAGGGAGAAAACCATCCGACTCTGACTTCCAACCCATTTGAACTTTTCCCGACTTCTCCTTTTTGATAGAAGGCGACCTAACCCCCTTGGAGATTGTTCAGAGGCAGTGAGGAGCCACAGAGAAAGCACATTTTCATCAGGCTGTTATTATGGGAACACTGCCAACAGGAAAAATAATGGGCAAAGAAAGAAAATTCTGATTATCCAACCAAGAGGCTTGAAGCATCTATGGCTTAAGGCCAAGAGATGGAAGGGAAATTAAATGACAAAATAAATCAAAGATGTCTTCACCCACCAATGTGTTTGAAAGGGCAGAATGCTGCATGCTTGTGCCGCCCAAGGTTTTCTCCATGTAACATATTTAGAGTTGATTTTTAGCTCATTATTGCAATTTTCTTTCAAGAGCTTTAACAGTCACAATTCAATTTAACTTCTCGCTCTTTTTTTTTTTTTTTGGCTGTAGTAAATCAAGTATTCTGGATGGGTCCTATCTATGGTTTTCAGTTATCTTGGAGACTTTTCCCTTGACAAAGATGAAAAAGAAAGACTTGAAAAGATTTTAGAATCCAGGGGATGCCACCTTTCATTTGGGAAAGCAGGAGGAGCGCAAAGATGGGCGAGTACAGGGCTGTCCATGAGAATGACTAAAAACCTAGTCCCCAGTGCTGAGTGCTTGCAAAAATCAGAATAATTTTTATTACTACTACAAATATTTCTCAAACAGTACTCAGTCCCAGGCACTCTGCAATGAGTTTTATATTCACAGTCTTACTTGATTTGAGTGATAAACATGGTGGTCTGCTTTCTAAAGGATTTCATCCCATTAAAAGGCTTTTAAATAGGAAGCAATTTGGAAATTATGCTATGGTTTACAGATGTTAGTTATTAATGTGATGTGCACATCATGGGATCTTATTTTAATTTACCAATCGATATGCTTTTCATTTCTAATAACTGTTTCTCATCCTCTGGGCATTCTCCACAGATGCAAGATTAGACAGCTCTCATGGCCTGAAAGAACTGTTAGTGTAACACAGAGGCAGAGAAATGAATTTTTGAGTTTCTAAAGCCCTGAAGGGTTGACCCTGTAAACAACATCTCTGGAACAATAATGATGGTAAGAGGCACCTTTTCTATGTCCAACCAGAAGCTGAACAGCTTTCTTAAGTGACCCTGAGAAGTGACCTGGGTATTAACCCCTTGGTAGGGACAGAGGAGCCTGGCAGGCTACAGTCCTTGGGGTCGAAGAGTTGGACACGACCCAGCAACTAAACCACCACCACCACCAGGGTGCAGTAGAAACCTCAGGTCAATTTGGAGGAACTGAATAACTTAGAAGATTGTCCTTCCTTCCTCTGATTCATCCTGGGGAAGTGACATGCCACTCACTACTCCCTCGCCCTCAGGATTACTGGGGGGTTTTAAGAAGAGGTAGCTGCAGAGATCTCCAGGAAGTTGAGACCGAGATCTCATCAGAGAGATTTTCTCTGGGTTTCATTTGGCTCCAGGAGAAACCAAATGCTTCTCTCATCTCTGGGTGGTCAGGAAAATGGCTGAAAGGCCGCCAACCTGAAAAGCATCAGGGTTAGGCTGGAGAAGGAAGGGCAGAGATGAACTGACCTTTCCAAGACTTTGCAGTCAGGCAGACCATTTATTACATAGCGGAGTGGATGGGGGATGACACCTTGACCTCATTCCTTGGCATGTCTCACTTCTCCTTCTCCCAACATGACAGGCACAACGCAGAGAGATCAACTGATTGAAATGACCCTCAACAGATTGAAATGAATTCTCTGCCTCTTGGAAGAGTGAGTGCTTGAAAGAACAATTAAGCTGATGTGTACAAAGGTAACAAAAGCTGCGTTTCTGCACACTGGTACCCACACCATCTCAGCACACAGGGATGACATATGAGAAAGGAATTAGATATCACATCCGTTAGCCCCTGGGGAGATCTCGGCAAACCATGCTATCTTTCTGAATTTCAATACCCTCATCTAGTGAACAAGAGAATTGGGTTTTAAAAAAAATGTTCTATGGAAATACCTCTTGGGTTTCCAGAAGGGAAGGGAAGGGGAAGTTATTTCCTGGGACCTAGTTCAAGACTCCCCTGCACCAAATTTCAGCTGGGACAACTTGATTTCAGTCTGATTTTTTTTTTTTTTTAAGTATTGGAACCAATGTACTGAGAGCAGAGTTTATGATTCTCTTCCTGCAATGGTATATTTTCATCATGATATCACTCCTGACGTTTTCTTATCTGACTTTTCCCCTTTCTTCCCGGTCTCCTCTCTTGTTTTTGACAGTAATGCTGGCAACCTCACATATTTTCAAAGGCTCCCTTTTTACTTTGTTTACATTGAGGATACATGTAAGATTTACTTTTGAAAACAACAACAACAAAGGATTAACTCAGTTCTGTATAGAGCAGTTTAAAAACCACAATGGTCATCATAGCACTGTTTATAATAGCCAGGACATGGAAGCAACCTAGATGTCCACTAGTAGACCAATGGATAAGAAAGCTGTGGTACATATACACAATGGAATATTACTCAGCCATTAAAAAGAATACATTTGAGTCAGTTCTAATGAGGTGGATGAAACTGAAGCCTATTATACAGAGTGAAGTAAGCCAGAAAGGAAAAGACCAATACAGTATACTAATGCATATATATGGAATTTAGAAAGATTGTAACGATAACCCTATATGCGAGACAGCAAAAGAGACACAGATGTATAGAACAGTCTTTTGGACTCTGTGGGAGAGGGCAAGGGTGGGATGATTTGGGAGAATGGTATTGAAACATGTATATTATCAAGTGTGAAACAGATCGCCAGTCCAGGTTGGATGCATGAGACAAGTGCTCAGGGCTGGTGCACTGGGATGGGAGGGCCAGGATGGGGAACACATGTACACCCATGGCTGATTCATGTCAATGTATGGCAAAATCACTAAAATATTATAAAGTAATTAGCCTCCAATTAAAATAAACAAATTTATTTAAAAAATAAAATAAAAACCACTTGATTCCTTATTGACCTAAGGTCCCCTCTACTTTCTATATCCTAGGAGGATTTTTGAGTGGTAAATTGCAACTTTGCTCTCAAAAGATGCATTGAAGACCTGAACCCTTTGAAGCTCAGACAAAAGAGAAACAGCAAACAGTAATTTACAAACATAATAATTCAGCTTCTCTGTACCTGGATGAATAGGAAGTGTTCCAATATGCCCCTCACTCCTTTCTTCCATTTGTTACATAGAGTTTGTCATTCTCCCCTCTCTTTCTAATGTCTTTTTACACCCTGCCCTATTAGATGGATTGCCAAAGAACAGAAGAAGTCATTTCAGCGTTGTTGTTTTAAAACTTCTCTTCCAGTGCAAGAAAACCCCACTAGGGAAGTGCATCTATAAATGGTGCACACACTCTCACCCACAGCAGCAAGAGGTTGCCTCATTCCCAAGGCATGTTTTGCAGTCAGCCCCTAGAACAGGATTCCAGGAGCTGATCAGCTCCTGCTATCTTAGCACCTGTTTCTTGATGGTTTCTGCTTTGGTGACATCACATGTTTGATTGCTGCCCTGTAGAGATACGACGAGTATAATTCTGTGCTGGAAGGCTTCAGTTTGGAAAGCGTTGGTCCTGTGTGGGAGAGATGGAACTGGAACAGAAGCATCAAGGTGCTGGGATGTTACCAAAGCCTGTTGTCTTGCATTGATCATTTATGTGGCAGGGCAGATGGATGATCTGTTTTCAGAAGATGTGTCACTCCATGCTGGGTTTACTCAATGAAATCTTGTATAGCCCCAGCACATGAATTAAGATATTTTCTGTAGATGATTCATTTATGCATATATACACCCACGCACACAGTCAGAAATATTTATTGAATACCTGTGATGTGTGGGGACTCTATGTTCCAGAGAAATAGCAATAAAAAAGACAGGAAAACTCTTGTCCTCATGGATTATTTATTACGGATGAAAGTGTTAGTTGTCCAACTCTTTGCAACCCCATGGGCTGTAGCCCACCAGGCTTCTCTGTCCATGGAATTCTCTAGGCAAGAACACTGGAGTGGGTTGTCATTTCCTTCTCCAGGGGATCTTTCCCACCCAGGGATTGAACCCATGTCTCCTGCATTACATGCAGATTTTTTTTTACTGTCTGAGCCACCTATGGATGGATGGGGTGGGACAATACACAAGCTAAATAAAAATAGATATAAACTTAGAAGATTACAACTATAAGGAAAAAAATGATGCAAGTAAAAGGAATGACTAGTGTCTCAAGGAAGTGGGGAAGGAGTTGGAATTTTTAAATACCGTGGTGTGCAAATACTTCACTCAGGAGGTAACATTTTAGGGCAATTAACCTTGCTGCTTTCTGTAGGGAAATAGTAATGAACTTGGAATCAGAAAACCTGCATTAGACTCTTGTTATGAACTGAATTATGCAACCTTCCCTCTTCAAATGCTGAGGTCTTAACTTTTAGGACCTCAGAATATGACTGCATGTGGAGATAAGGCCTTTAAGGAGGAAATTAAGTTAAAATGAGGTCGCTAGGGTGGATGCTAATCCAACATAACTGATGCCGGAGGAAGAAGATGAGACTCCTGGGACGTGCCTATATGGAGGGAGGAGAGACCTCGGAATCTCACAGCAAGAAGTTGGCATTTGGAAGCCTGAAGGGAAACCAAACCAGTTGGCACTTTAATTTTGAACTTTCAGCCTCCAGAGCCATGAGAAATAAATTTCTGTTGTTTAAGCCACCCAGTCTGTGGCGTTTTGTTATAGCAGTTTACGCTGACTAATTCAACTCTGAACTCTGATCCTTGAGAACTGCCCTCTTGATCTTCACATTTGACCTGGACACTTGGACCCTCAAACTCAACATGTCCCTAAATGAGCTCATGATCTCCACCCTTGTCAAGCTGGCTCCATCCACCAGAAGTAGAAGACCTTTCTACTTCTCTTGATTTCAGCTCCAACCTTCTAGTTTCTCAGATCAAAAACAGTCACCCATGGGGTCACTGTTTTTGTCAAACTCTCAATCCAATATGCCAGCAATTCTGCTGGCCCTACCTTCAAAGAATATTGAGGTCTAGTGACTCCTCACCTGTGTTGATCCAACCACCTAAATTTCTGCAGTAGACGCTGAATGGGTCTCTCAGTTCCCACCCTCGCCTTCTCAGGATGTGTTTTCCTAGCAGTCAGAACTTCTTAGCTCATCTGCACCTTCCCCACGCTGACAGCCTCCACTGAGGACACACTGGTGTCTTTCCTTTAATCCATGGTAACACTTTCCACTCCTCTGCCAGCCTTTGCGTCTCTGTCAAGTGCAAGTGATGGGGGCCAAGCCCTTTGCTACCGCAAACTCTGAATAAAGAAAGAGCCTCTGCTTATTCCCATTCGGGTGGCCTTCATTTATGTCCACAAAAGGCATGTTTAAAATATTTGATAATGAGGCAGACTGGTTTTATGGACCATACTGAATATTTTTTAATTTTATCTTTGCTCCATAAAGTGCTTGTTTTGAAGATTGCTTATAGATCAGAATAACGTTAAGTATAGATAGCTAAGCAATTATTGGATTAGACGGAATTGCCTGGGCCTCTCTTGTTAAGCTCCCTGTGAGAGGATCATACTTAAACCACCCCAGCATTGTATAAAAACCTGAGTTGTAACTAAGCACTTTAACCATTTCAGTGTTTCACCCTGACGACCTTCTTCCCTTTTTCCTACATGCATAATAATTTTCATCTTGTTGCAGTTCAAGTTTATGTATATATGTTCTCTCCCCCATAGAGATGGACATCAGAATATTCTATGTTTTCAGTCCTTCAAACACTTGAAACCCTGTTAAATTGAATTTTATGTTATTTTCTCAATACTGGAACATATTTGGCTTCATTTTTTCCATATAGTTATTCTTTTCTAATACAACATTCCCAGTAAAACTGTTTAGGGATCATAGCTGTGTGTGGTTTTATCTACTTATTGATGTGAAGAATTCCTTGGTTAAAAAAGTATTAAGTATAATCACAGGCCTTCCCAGAGCCTAACATACAGAGTGAATTTTTAAGAAGTAGAGATATTTACATGATACTGAAGGATTTTTCTTATAGAGCATCTTCATGTTTGTGTTTCATGTGTCCTAATCCTCACATACTGTCATGACGCTGATAAACATTTCCAGGTTGCTCCCACGCAGTAAGACTTATATCCCAGGGTGGTATTTGGCTTGTTTGTTAAAATACTGGGACTGAGAAGCTAAAGGCAGAAATCAGACCATTCTATTGTAAAAATAACAGTATTCTATAGGTACATTACATGTTGATCTTAGCATTTTTGTGGTCTTGTATACACATCAATTACTTCCATCCTGCAAACCTTTAAAAAAACACACTACATCTTGGTTGGGTATGGAGTGAAAAACTATCAGGCCTTAAAACAACAGCTGACATAACTTCTGTACTTCATTTTCCTATTAAATAAGACCTTCATTCCCTGCTAAATAAATGTGTTAACACATTTTAATTAGTGCCAAGCCCAAGATGCCATTGTTCACAGAGGTATTTAATTTATGGAAAAGTGAAAAGTGTTCGTCGCTCAGTTGTGTTTCAACTCTGTGCGACTGCATGGACTATAGGTAGCCTGCCAGACTCCTCTGTCCATAGGAGTCTCCAGGGAAGAAAACTGGAGTGGGTTGCCCTTTCTTTTTCTAGGGTATCTTCCCTACCCAGGAATGGAACCTGAGTTTTCTGCATTGGCAGGTGGATTCTTTACTACTGAGTGACCTATACTTCAATAAAAAATAAAAGTTAAAGAAATAAAGCAGGTCAAAGGAGGAAGTTCAAAGTCAAAGGATGAAAAGATCACTCTAACCTTGGAGATGGTGGAAGCAGCACTAAGTCCTTGGTGAGTAATGATCTTATCTACTGTAGATAGACTGATTTGCATTAGAAACGGATCCATTTCTGCCAAGGAATTTCCTTTTAACACGCCGATGCTATTGGAGGAAAAAAATAAAATAAAGGCTCTTCTTTAACAAGGGCTTCTCAGGCAGGGCTTCCCTGGTAGCTCAGCTGGTAAAGAATCTGCCTGCAATGCAGGAGACCCCAGTTCAATTCCTGGGTTGAGAAGATCCGCTGGAGAAGGGCTAGGCTACCCACTCCAGTATTCTTGGGCTTCCCTGGTGGCTTAGTTGGTAAAGAATTGGCCTGCAATGCGGGAGACCTGAATTCAATCCCTGGGTTGGGAAGATCCCCTGGAGAAGAGAACGGCTACCCACTCCAGTATTCTGGCCTGGAGAATCCCAGGGACTGTACAGTCCATGGACTTTGAAGAGTCGGAAACGACTGAGCGACTCTCACATCACTTCTTCTCAAGTAGGCTCAGTGGGTAAAGAAACTGCCTCCAACGATTCCTGTGGAGGAGGGCATGACAACCCACTCCAGTATTCTTGCCTGGAGAATCCCAGGGACGGAGGAGCCTGGAGGGCTACCGTCCATAGGGTCGTATTGAGTCAGACATGACTGAAGCAACTGACCATGTATGCACTCCTTTAACAAACTGCCTTAACTTTATTCGATTGCCTAATACGCAGTGTCCATCAATAGCTAAGAAGAAGAATCTCCGGAGTAAAACAAAGATGGATCTATGCTACCAAGGGGCCTTACAAGGAAACTTACATTCACATCAGTACTGAGGGCACATGTAAATCTAGGGAAGTGGGATGCTCAGGGCCTAAGGAAAGAGGTAAATTTCACTGGACATGTGGATGCCCCTCTTAGATAATAAGTGAGAGGGTAATAAAAGGAGTTTACAGGTCCCTTAGGTTTATAGCTTACATCAGTTTAGAGTTTACACAGAATGTCTCAAATATCATTTTTATTGCCCTTAGCTCTGCAACAGTTACACTGACAGTTTGGAGTTAATTATTATAAAAAAGTTAGCATAAAGTCTTTTCCATGAGAGTTGAATAAATAGATTTTTGCTTTTGATTCTGCGAAAGAATTTTCCTTTCAGTCACTTCTGGTTTTTAATTTATTAACAGTATTTGACATGAGGTCATCAGAGCTTCTAGGCTGGATCAGGTCATAAAATACATATACCTTGCAAGGTTCTGAGGCCTGTGGGAGCTTCCACGATGTGGTAATTATTGTATTAGTTGGGCTTCAAAGGAAGGGGAGAAGCATAGCGGCCTTGTCCAAATAGGAGGTGCAAACCTGTCTCCAAATATTAAAACATCAATATGTGTGAATTGAGAGAGTTGAGTATGAGTGTGAAGGTAGGGGAGTGGTTCCTGTATAAATCTTATTTGGCTATTTAGAAGGATGTAATTGGAATATAAAATACCCACATTTTGACAGAGCACAATTCCACTCCCAAATGTATAAGCCTCCTCTACCTACACTGTCATGCAAATTAGGTAGAAATAGGCTTAAAAACCTACAGCTCTTGGAATAAAGGGTATTTTCCCCAAGCCCATTTTAAACAAAATGAATGACATATTCTCCCACAAAGAGAGATGATTGACATTACATATGCCAGGAAATTTTCCTTTTCAAAATCATGACATTTATAACATAAAGAGATAGCAATTATATTATACAGTCTTCAAACTCAAAAATTAAAAAAAAATCCTACTGGGAAAACAGGAATAATATGTCCTATAAAGAATGCAATTAGGCAGAGCTAGATTAGAGAATCCACAGAGGGTAAGACACGGAACTGATTATCTTGAATTTAATTTGCTGCTTTTGATATTTCCCCCTGCATTTTAGTGATTCCGTAGAGATCAGCCTGCAACAACTTCATTTTTCAACTGGTCCACTTAATGTGATGGTGTTTTTTTTTTTTTTTTTTCATCAAGCATAGTAAAATATAACTGCCCAGA